GGTGAATAGAGTTGACGAAGATACCTTTCCTTATTAGCTGTTAACTGCCATGACCTCTTGAGGTATGAGAACTGTTTTACTTGGCTTTCTTCCGGTACTTTAAATTGGCTGCCATGAAAGAGAATCTCATGTACCCCTGTATTTACCCAAACCAGCGGTGGGAAAAGAAGACATGGATTCAAGTCTTTCCCAATGTCAATACAGCAGAAGTGAACGCATTAGGATAGAATTTGAACCCAGACTGTCGATTCCATTAGCCACGTACATAATCATTAGGCTACTTACACATTCCAAATAATAATATATGACAGTACTTATTAATGCGCATAATTTGACACTCAGCGAACATATTGGAGATAGAGAAATGAAACGAGTAACCTCCCTTATGAACTTGTGCCGGCTGAACAGAATAGAGATTAGGAGAGATAGGAACAAACAAAAAATACTATGAGCTACAAAGCACAGAAAATTGTAGAGAACCATGATCGCCAACGTCCTCAGGACAATCAAGGCTCATAGAAAACGCACACTTTTAATTATCTGAAGGAAACCTTTTTATCTTCCATGAGCATGGCTGATGCTAGCCTCCAGGAGCGTGACTCGTTCAGCCTTCACAGGTTAACGTTTTCCTCTGAACAGAAGTGCAAAAATTAGACTAAATCAATTGGTAAGTCTTTCGCAAGAATTATATACATAAGTCTACAGTTCGTCTATGCATTGAATATTTCAGTCACATCTGGTCTGGTGTTTCTATATATTTAGAGATTCTAGATAAAATCCAAAGAAGAATCAACAGCATTATTTGTTCGAACTTGGTATCTTGTCTTCAGTCATTTTCCCTGAGCCGTAATGAAGCTTCCCTGTGCCATCATTTTATAGTTTAAATAGGTAAATGTAACCGTAAGTTATATGTTAACAGTTTCTTCTGGCACTTCTATTCTCGTTGCATTTCTCGCTTGGGGAACTCTCTTTTGTTTTATTGCTTTCTAGTCAAGTTTGATCTTCAAGTTTTAAATGCAACGTCAATCGTTATCTTTTGTCTTCTTAATTATTGTTCTTTTATCATCTCTCTTCTTAATAATGGTTATTTCTTTTCTCATTTTAATTCTCACCAGATCCTTGCATAGTGTGGCTTTATTGCTTTGCTTCGAGTGAAATGATTAAAAGAAGATGCAACCATCTTTCGGCGGAGATTTGATAACTTCTGTACTACATCTGTACTTTGAACATCCAAAATTCGTACAGACATTTTAAATTACCAAAGAATGAGAAAGCGATTGGGGGAGAGATGGAGAAATTGAGGGAGATGGAGAGACAATAAACGGTATTGGTCGAGAGGTTGAATTAAAAAAAAATATTCAGGGCTAAGTGGTTTTGAAGAGTATCTTCTTGCCCAGAGAATATTAAAAAGAACCTATCAGCAATCCATCTCCGCCATTTTGATTTTGTTTCTTCGTTTGATTTCTGGACGTTAACGTTCCCTCTGTTCCCAACACCAAGACAGGACTTCCTTTTTAAAATGATTGAACTGGAATTTAACAAATTCAGATTTATCACAATGTTCTTTCTTTTTTACTTGATTATTTTTACCTACATTTTTTTTTTTTACTACACCTATATTTAAAAATTCTCATTTTTTTCCGTTTTTTATTCATTGAATATATTTTCTATCGTTCATGTATTCCTCTTGGTCATTTTTCTATTTTTCATTCTTCTTTCACTCTCCTCTTGTGCGTCAAATATTCTCTTTTCATCGTTTTCTTTGTTTTCTTTTTAATATTAATTTTGACATTTCATTTTTCTATTTTTTTCCAAATCATTTTGGTTGATTTATTGATTTTCCATCCTATTCTTTCTTATGTTTTACTTTTTCATTCAGTCCATTTGTTACTTCATTCTTTTTGTCTTTTGGCATTTCATCTTATTCCTATCATTTTCATTTTACTTTTTCTGCATTTCCACTTTATCTTACATCTCACATTCCATTCTACCTCCTTTTCTTCCAATTTACATTCCATTCATTTCTCTTTCCATTATAGTATATTTCCTTCAATCTGATATTCATTTCATCTCACTTTTCGTTCTTCCTCTTTCCGATCTCTCTTTATTTCTCTAGGACTCTTTTTCCATTTTACATCCTTTCATCTATATTAATTTCCTTTCATATCTTTTTCCATTCTACCTCCTTTCCATCTTTTTTTCATTCCATTCATTTCATTTTCCACCTTATAGTATATTTCCTTTCATCTATTTTTCTATTCTACCCCTTTTCCTTCTATCTTACTTTCTTTTCATCTCCCTTCCCCTTCTATCTCCTTTCTCTTTTCATTCTCCTTCCATCTTAGTTTTCTTTCAACTCTCTTTTCATTCTACCTCCCTTCCTTCCATGTTAATTTTCTTTTTTTCCATTTACCTCTTTTCCTTCCATCTTACTTTTCATTCTCTCTTTCCATTCTTCCTTTTCCTTTCATCTTTTTTCATTCTCCTCCTTCCTTCAATCTTTTTATTCCCATCCATTCTCTCCTTTCCTTCAATTTACTTTCCTTTCCTTTTCCATTCATCCTTTCCTCCATCTTTATTTTCCTTTCACCTCTTTTTCCATTCCACCTCTTTTCCTTCCATCTTCCTTTCACCTCTTTTTCATCTATTTTTCTATTCTACCCCTTTTCCTTCTATCTTACTTTCTTTTCATTTTCAGTCTGCTTCCCCTTCCATCTTACTTTCCTTTCCCTTTCCATTCTCCTTCCATCCTTTCCATCTTCCTTTTCTTTCACCTCTCTTTTTTCATTCTTTTTCCTTCCATCTTACTTTCCTTTCCCTCTCTTTTCCATTCTCCTCCTTTTTCCATCTTCTTATTTCCTTTTCTCTTTCCATTCTACCTCCTTTCTTCCATCTTATTTTCCTTTCACCTCTCTTTCCATTCTCTTTTCCTTCCATCTTACTTTCCTTTCACCTCTCTTTCCATTCTATTCTTTTCCTTCCATCTTTTCCTTTCACCTCTCTTTCCATCTTTTCCTTCCATCTTACTTTCCTCCCTCTCTTTCCATTCTTTCCCCTTCCATCTTTTCTCCCTTCATTCTTCCTCTTTTCCTTCCATCTTACTTTCCTTCACCTCTCACCATTCTACCTCTTCTTTCCATTCTACCTCCTTTCCTTCAATCTTACTTTCCTTTCATCTCTTTTTCCATTCTACCTCCTTTCCTCCATCTTATTTTCCTTTCACCTCTCTTTCCATTCTACCTCTTTTCCTTTCATCTTACTTTCCTTTCACCTCTCTTTCCATTCTACCTCTTTTCCTTCCATCTTACTTTCCTTTCACCTCTCTTTCCAGTCTGCCTCTTTTCCTTCCATCTTACTTTCACCTCTCTTTCCATTCTACCTCTTTTTTCCTTCCATCTTACTTTCCTTTCACCTCTCTTTCCATTCTTCCTCTTTTCCTTCCATCTTACTTTCCCTTCACCTCTCTTTTCATTCTACCTCCCTTTCTTCAATCTTACTTCCTTCACCTCTTTCCATTCCCTTCCTTCCATCTTACTTTCCTTTCATCTCTTTTCCATTCCCTCTTTTTCCATCTTATTTTCCTTTCCTCCCCTTTCCTTCAATCTTACTTTCCTTTCATCTCTCTTTCCATTCTACCTCTTTTCCTTCCATCTTACTTTCCTTTCTTTCCATTCTCTCTTTTCTTATTTTCCTTTCACCTCTCTTTCCATTCTACCTCTTTTCCTTCCATCTTACTTTCCTTTCACCTCTCTTTCCATTCTACCTCTTTTCCTTCCATCTTACTTTCCTTTCACCTCTCTTTCCATTCTACCTCTTTTCCTTCCATCTTACTTTCCTTTCACCTCTCTTTTCATTCTACCTCCCTTCCTTCAATCTTACTATCCTTCACCGCTCTTTCCATTCTACCTCCTTTCCTTCCATCTTACTTTCCTTTCATCTCTTTTTCCATTCTACCTCCTTTCCTTCAATCCTTGCTTCCGCTCTTTCCATTCTACCTCCTTTCTTCCATCTTCTTTCCTTTCATCTCCCATTCTCCTTTCCATCTTATTTTCCTTTCACCTCTTTTCATTCTTCCCATCTTGCTTTCCTTTCATTCATTCTCTCTTTTCCATTTCTATCTTACTTTCCTTTCACCTCTTTTCCCTTCCATTCTTTACTTTCCTTTTATCTCTTTTTTCATTCTACCTCCTTTCCTCCATCTTATTTTCCTTTTCCTCTCTTTCCATTCTACCTTTTTCCTTCCATCTTACTTTCCATTTCACCTCTTTTCATTTACCCTTCCAATCTTACTTTCCTTTCATCTTTCCATTTTTTTTCCATTCTTTCCTCTCCTTCCTTTCCTCCATCTTATTTTCCTTTCACCTCTTCCATTTTTTCCATTCCTACCTCTTTTTTCCTTCCATCTTACTTTCCTTTCATCTCTCTTTCCATTCTACCTCTTTTCCTTTCATCTTTTCATTCTTCCCTTCCTTTCAATCTTACTCCATTCTTTTCCTTCCATCATTCTTTTTCCATTCTTTTCCCTTTCACCTTCCATCTTTTTTCCTTTCACCTTTCTCTTTCCATTCTACCTCTTTTTTCATCTTCCATCCTTTCACCTCTTTCCATTCTACCTCTTTTCCTTCCATCTTTTTCATTTTTTTCCATTCCTACCTCTTTTCCTTCCATCTTACTTTCCTTTTCATCTCTTTTCCATTTTCCTCCTTTCCTCTATTACTTTCTTTTCATCTCTCTTACCATTCTACCTTCTTTCCTTTTTTCTTTCTTTTCTTTCAATGGCCTTGTACCAGTATTCTCCAAAGCCATATAGAACCAAATACGAATCTCAAGTTTGCGTTAATTTCTCCAGTAGCGTTAAGCCTTTATTTCTTGAAGATAGTTATTCTCGTTCCTGGCTAATGACTGCCTTAGAACTCCGATCTCTGTCACCGACGAGAAATACTCCAGTGTAAAAAGGAAGACGCATACCCTCACTTTCTTTTTGTTCTTTCCTTCCAATTATGATTTCTCTTTCTGATTTCTTCATTTTATTTTATTTACTGGTTTTCTCTTTCTTTTCATTTTTCTTACATCTAAACTCGCCATTTCTTTTAACTCCTCCTCCTCTTCTTTTTTCTTTCTTTCTTTCTTGTTTTTCTTTCTTCTTTCTATTCGGCCAAGGCTTAATCTCTTTTCTTCCATTATATGTTTTCATATTTGCTTTCCTTCGGCTTACCCTTTTTCTTATCTTTCCTGTATTCCTTCTAAGTGATATGCGCTCATCATTATCTGTTCTCATTTTCCCTTTCATCTAGAAATAAATAGAAAAAGAAAAAATATTTCTAGCCTTCTTTTCTTTTCTTTAAGCTTTATTGATTTATTCGCATCCATCCTCATTTCTTGCTACCCTTTCTTTCTCCTTTTCTCTTCATTTCTCTCCACTAATTCTTTTTTTCTTCTTTTATATTTCTCCTTTGTATTATTTTTATAGAGTATTATCATTCTTTCTTTCTTTCTTTCTTTCTTTCTTTCTTTCTTTCTTTCTTTCTTTCTTTCGTACTGAATGCTTCTTTTTCTTTCCCTTTTCTTCAATTTTACTTTATCTCTTCCTACAACTTACTTCTCTCTTTTCTCTCTCTCCCTATCTCCCACCTCTCTCTCTCTCTCTCTCTCTCTCTCTCTCTCTCTCTCACTGGTGTTTCCTTTCCTTAAGTCTTATGTACTTTCATGTTTTCACAAGTACTTTTCACCCTCCCACCTATATCCTTCTCTTCAACTTTGACACATTGTAACTTGGCGTGTTACTCCTTCCCATAATTCATATCTACATTACCACTGGTACTTGTCATTTTTGAAATATAAAACAGATACATAAGTGTGCATCACACATATAGAAAAATAATACCTGAAATATATACATGCTGAAAATTACATCTAATAACAACAAATATAAAACACGTATACATTATGTAATATAAATCGACACGCTGGTATGAAGTATGGATGTTGAGTGAAGGGTTAGGTGGGGGTGTCCTATACTGTAACCCACTCGCCTTCTTTCCATTTACTTGTAATCGCCAGCTGCTCTCTAAATATTGCGTATCGTCTATCAAAGAAAAACGAGAAAAAAACTTTTGAAAAATATGGAAATTTAAATTTTTATTTTCTTCGTATTATTTTTTTACTTATTAAAAGGTAAAATTGATTTCTGACACCTAATCGCCTTCAAGTGTTGAAATTTTATCTAAGTTATTTATCATCTGTCATCGATACACGACTTCATTTGCTACACGCGCCTACAACTTTATTATAGTATCATTCCTACAACCATAATAACTTATTGACATGACCACCTGCCTAGGCTCATATATATGTATATAATTATATATATATATATATATATGTGTGTGTGTGTGTGTGCGCGTGTGTGTGTGTAGGTATGTATCTGTGTATATATATATATATATATGTATCTATCTGCATATGTTATATGCATATAGATATGTATGCATATATGCATAAAAATATTGAAAAGAGTGAGATAGATAGATAGATAGATAGATAGATAGATAGATAGATAGATAGATAGATAGATAGATAGATAGATAGATAGAAACAGGCTGGGAAAAGAAAGAAAGAAAGAAAGAAAGAAAGAAAGAAAGAAAGAAAGAAAGAAAGAAAGAAAGAAAGAAACGGACTAAGATAAGTATCTAGACACGGATAGATGCCTTTGCACAAAGCTTAGATAGATAGATAGATAGATAGATAGATAGATAGATAGATAGATAGATAGATAGATAGATAGATAGATAGATAGATAGATAGAAAATGAAAAGACTGAGATAGATAGATAGATAGATAGATAGATAGATAGATAGATAGATAGATAGATAGATAGATAGAAAATGAAATGACTGAGATAGATAGATAGATAGATAGATAGATAGATAGATAGATAGATAGATAGAAAATGAAATGACTGAGATAGATAGATAGATAGATAGATAGATAGATAGATAGATAGATAGATAGATAGATAGATAATCACCATACTTAGCATAGTGGTTATCGGTGCAGAAAATGAAATCTTTATAGCGAGTTCAGATTCGTTATTTTCTTTCTCACAAATATCAATGTGTAAGGTATGAAACTATTTCATATAGAATAAACAGACTGGGCACTCTATCCTTTGTTGGCAACCAGTCTAGGAGAAGGAGATTTTGCATAAATAAACGTTGTATTAAAACCTGAGACGGGCTGTCTGTAGACGTTCGGGCGGTGTGCAAAAAATTCTTCTGTTATTCATGAAATGTGTCCCACCACGATAATCACACAATATGTGTAAGTACTGTCAGACTCATATTCATATATGTGCATTCATACACACACTCTCTCTCTCTCTCTCTCTCTCACACACACACACACACACACACATCCCTATTTACTGGTCCACAGGTCCAAAAAATGTCAGATTTTTGTTGTTTTTTTTTCCAATATGGTAATTATAAAGTGTTGCTTATTGTGGTCAAAACTGTGGATAAACTGTCTGACGGACCTCTTATAGCTATTTTCTAAGCGTAGCTTATATGTGGCACAAGGCCGAAAGTTTGAGGCACCTAGTGAGAATCGAGTTAACTTTTCAGTCATAACTGACCTAATGAGACAAGCTTGCTAACCATTATGCCAAGTCGAAGTGACCAAAATGATTTTCTAAGTGTAGCGCAGATGTGGCAGAAGGCCGAAAACGAGAGGATCGAACTCACTACTCTACTTCTTATGTATCGGTCATATTCAAGAACCTATGTAGTGCCTGAAAAATTCCTTTGTCTACACCTTCGTTCTTTTTGGAAAAAAGAAACTTTGAAATAGTCTAAAGTGACATAATGTGCGATGGTTATTCGGAAAGAGGCCGCACAAAAAACAGAATATGATTATATTATATATATATATATATATATATATATATATATATATATATATATATATATATATATATATATATATATATATATTATTTTCAGATAGAATGTATCTTTAAAGGAACAAAATGAATGAAAAGTCTAAAGGAAAACTATTCTTAGCCGACGACAAATGTAAGGTTTTATTTTGTTGCACGTGTTTATATTATTATTATTATTATTATTATTATTATTATCATCATTTTATTTCCTTTGATTTCTGGTATGTACTCATTTTTTTCAGAGTCCTGAATAGGGACCTAAGGTGAGAAATGGCATCATGACATTTTCCACTGAGCAATTAAAAAAGAAAACATATTTTACTCGGAAAAAGCCCTTCGTAAGGTGTGGTCTATACGCGTGAGAACAATTTTTTGTATTTCTTTGAGGCATGCGCTACCAGTAATCCCTTCAAGGAGTCTATTGGAATCTTTTCCAATCAGTCCGATGTCTCCAACTGTAACAGGGATTGTCGATGTTCCTATGTGCCACATATTTGAGATTTCAATGTCAAGGTCCTTGTATTTTGATAGATTTTTGAAGATCTTCAAAGATACATTGCAGTCTGCATCGACGGCCATATCAATAAGGCGGCAATTGTTTTCTTTGCGGTTTCTAATAACGATGTGTGGGCGATTAGCTTTGATTGTGCTGTCTGTGTGTTTTGTGTAGTCCCATAAAATTGTTACAGGTTCAATCTCCGTAACCGGGGCTGGGTGGTGTTCATACCAATTTCTTTCAGTTTCCTTTCTGTAGAAGTTGCAGAATTTCCAGTGCAGTTATTATTATTATTATTGTTATTATTATTTAACCCAAATATAGGTGTATATTCATTTACTTATGTGAAATTTACAATGTCTAATAAGACTATGAAGCTAAATTTCCTATAAGTAAAAATATATAGATACGATTCTGGGCCCGGTCAAATTAACATCATGACAATCGAGTAGCTGACATTTGGTATGTGGGGGAATATTATAGAGGCAATAATTACAGGCAATATGACTTTCTAACTATATTAATTATTTGAATTAATTATGGCTACTTTTTCGTGAATATAAACAATGAGGTTCAAATTTTTAAGGGTAAATTTTGTAACGATAGCTCAGATACAAAGGCTTCCTGCAGAAAAAAAGAGTGTTCATTGGTTATAAATCTTAATGAATTTTGAGTAGAATTTAAGACGAACTGTCTTTCGTTGCAGAAGTATATTATATCAAATTGTATTTTAGCTACTAATTCAAGGCTTCAATTTTGAACATTGAGATTTCGTTTCGATATTGGAAGAAGGAATGCAATATTTATCCTAATAACGATGTCAGAAAGAGATATAAAATGAAAAGAACGTATATTTATATTTTGTAGATTAATTGTTATTAAACGTTTGATAATATACGTAACAAATAATTGTTAGAACTGCTAGAAAATCTTGATAAATATATCAAGATTTTCTAGAAGAATATTAGAATAATCCGTAACTCATGCTAGGCGCAAACCACCAGAGCATACAAATAGAAAATGAATTCAGTAAATATACAAAAATGAAAAGCAATATAAAACAAAGGTATGTTTTCTCACTGGACTTATTCAACTTATACAGTGAGACGATTCGGAAAGAATGAGAAATCCTACCTTTATTCATTATTGCCGGTGACAACCTTAACAACATGCAGGCCCAGAAAGTTTACTACAAGAACTTCTACGTAAGTTAGCGAAGGAAAACGAGAAGAAAACAATAGTCATCAATTAAAAGAAGACAGAATGCTTGGGTGTCAGCAAAATGAACAGCTTAATATGCAAATTACAAAATGGAGATAACAGTGGATAAAGGCGCTAGTTAGATCGAGTGACAGGACCCAAAGAGTGTGAGTTCAATACCTGGTTAAGGCAGTGGATAAATTGGAGAGGAGAATTAACAGGAGACAACTGACTACTGACATCCATTTGACCTGACAGGTGGAACTACAACAGTCTACCCCAGCGAGCGACATAAAAAGAAGGCCGGAGCGTACACCGGCCGAATCGTTGTGATAAATATGGCAACAAAGATGAGGACGATAGTTCGAATAATGTAAATACATAGTACCTTATCTCAGAAATATAGACAGATAACAAATTCTAGCAATTCAAAAATTTCAATCTGGGGGGTGTTTTAACAGACGAAAGAAAAAGTGCAACACCGAAATCCGAAGTTGTTTTACGATAGCTAAAGATGCTTTCCTAAAGCTAAGTAAAGTATTAAGAAACAGGAAAATTTTGTTAGAAATAAAAGAAAGATTACTGAACTTTTATGTAATATCAGTCCTCATTTATCGCAGCGAATGTTGAATGATCTCCGTACGAATGAAGAATAAATTTGAGACAATAGAAATGTGTTTTTACTGAAGGATACTGAGAATAGACTGAATAAGTGGGAAACGTCGCCGTTTTAGAGAAAACAGAAAAGGCACTTATACATAAGATCAGAAAGTGAGAGTTGAATATTCTAGAATACAAAATGACAAAAGATTTGACACTCCCAAAAGAGATTGAGGACAGGACGGAGAAAGGAAAATAGCACATAACGACTTATATGAAAATGGATGGCAGAACAGGTTTTACGAGGGATAGCAAAAAGACTAAAAAAAAAAGTACTAAGAGCTACAAAGTACAGGAAATTGGGAAGAGTCATGGCCGCCAACGCCCAGAAGCACCACGGCACACAGAAGAAGAATAAACTCCTCACGTAATAATGCTATTAACTATGAGAGTGGCATAGTGGTGGTCGGCTAGGAACACAAATACAATTGTGGAAGCTATGATTTAATCACTCCTCCCCCCGGCTATGTGTTAAA